TATAAATATAATTATAAAACAAGATACTACAAATATTTTAAACTTAATTAACAAAATACAAATGCAAAAATACATTAAACATTATGCACAATAAGTCCAATACTCATAACACTCAAATTGTGCATCGCATTGCACACCCGACCCACACTAAGCTAGGGAGACGACTGAACAAGAGCTGATGCTGCCTCGTCTTTTTATAGCTGATACATTTGCACTCAGAACAAAGCTGAGCTCTTGAGTGGATTTAGCTAGTTTTCATGCTCACTCAGTTCCACTCATTAAGTAGAAAGAGTATATAGGTTTTGTGCATCCATTAAACAAACATTTGGATAATTAACAAACATTATCATGAACATTAACATAATTATTATTAATTAAAACAATAATTGGACAGCTTCAATAAAAACAATACTGCAACTGCAGTGCTAAAGACACTCATTTTTCTAACTTGCATATTCTCACTCAAAGTAGTGCAGAGTTGATTTAGAGTTCGTTCTCATTTGCTCTCATTCGGAAATGCAAATATAACGATAAAGATGGACAAATAAACCGAGATGATCAATTAGACAAGGTTTAAAGCCAGATCAACTGCATATGTAAGTGTGTAGATAAGTAAATATGTGCATTACGCATACAATTCTCGTATATTGTTATATGTGTACTTTTGCAGAAAACAGTTATAATCAATGGATGGATTCAGCGTAAAAATAGCGGCTATCAACAACAATGCCCATGCTTGTATTATCTTTTACGTGTAGTCCAATTATAAGGCGCGTTCACACATATGACGTCATATTAATGAGTGTGTGCTGATCAGAAATTCTTGTTATTATGTGAAGAACAGCTAGTAAAATTATTTATGACATTGTATATACACACGACATACATTGGTATGCCATATATAACACATTTTTCTTGCAAATGCAATGATAAGCAAACTGACAGGGGAGAAATGTTGTTATTGTAATAAAACTGAAACAACAGCGAAACACAGGCACAGTTGTCGCTTGCTATAATAACTATAATAACGTATGCACTAACACAAGTGCACACAGAAATTAAACATTAAGGGAGACAGGTGTAGTTATGCATGTGTATGTATTCCAAACGAATCTTTTTATGGGGAACCGTTTTAACTCACATGTCAATAAGCCAAATTCTTTGTAGTTGTTAACACAGTTTATGTGTGTATTTGTTTATTATCTGAATATTATCTTCACTATTGTTACAAATTATCGAATAATACTTATAAAAATAAGTAAACGTTTTCTTACACAATATCGCTGCGAACATTTAACACATTATTTAAAAAACGCAACCAATGGGCGCGCACAATGAAGTAATACTAGCGAATAATGCGTCTAGCACATAAGTGCTGTAGGCGCATAGCCACTGATAAGATAACGAAATATAACGGCAGGGCTGCAGAACTCTTCAGTATTTTTAAGCTAATTCTCAAATAGAAATATATATTTTTTAATTTATGATTCTCAGTTCTAAAAGTAGCAATTGAGTTAACTAGAAAAAATAAAACGATACCGGCAATGTCATTATTCGATTGTCATTTTTAAATCTAAGGATCCCATGAACAGTTATCGATTACAAATACGATTGCAGCACTGCGTCAAATGCTCATACAACCATGTACAGTATAGTACGTTAAACGACTACTAGAGGTCGCTTGCGACATTAGCAAATGAAAGACGCGCTGTGATTGGTTGACTGTACGCTATTCGGGTTACTAGTGCAGAAGTAAAATGTAAGGTAAAAGTCGCTCCAACAGTTTGCTTAAGAATAGTTAAATAATATTGAAAAATAAGTATTAAAACGTGTTCGCAATGTGATGCCAAGTGCAATAGGTAAATTGCATTAAATGTAAATGTCAATTGTGCTATTCACACATAACTGTGAGAGTCTGTAAAAAATTTTTTCGGTTTTATAAATGGCGGACAATGTGCGTTGGCTTTAGCTCCATAGACACACACACATACACACGCTCGTTCGCTTATTCAATTACACATACAGACACGATGTCGAGTACCTAGCACTACGTTAAGTATTGAGAATGTATAATTTGGCAAACCTGGCTCAGGGCAAAGCATCCTTAACTGTGTGATTTGTGTGTGTATATGTGTGTGTATATATATATTATTTTGGCGCCATATATGCAATTAGCAAACATTTTCAATATTCGAATTGTAAACAAAAATGGTATTTCTATGAGATTTTGTGAATTTTATCGATTTTTTCTACACATGTACATGCATACACATATGCGTCAATACAACTGTATGCGCAAATGAACGTGAAAGAATACCAATTACAGTTGATGCTGCATTTACCAGTGGAAATTGTTTTGTTTTAACAAATCTTATTTTGCGTGTGTGTTTTTTAGATAATGTGCGTTTTTCGAGAAGAGCTAAAGAAGAAATAAATTGTATTTGAGAGTAACAGAGTGCGCACACACGCTTACACGCTTCACACACGTACGTACGGATAGTTTTAAGCAGAAAGTGGGTGGCGAAGGCATCAATAATCGCAATAACGACGCAAAGGCTGATCAGAATACAATGAGTGGTCGAGGCAGCCGGAAGCGTGGTCGCCCGCCAAAGACGCCAAACGAGCGCTCATCGGGACGCTTCAACTATCATCTGCTCAAGAAGCCAAAATATCTCAGTGAGGGCAAATCCCAGCCAAGCACTCCATCGGCGTCACGCTGCATCTCACCACAGAGCGATGAATGCAGTCGCGGCAGCCACAACAATCGCAGCGCGCGCGGCAGCGGCTCGAAGCGGGGCCGTGGACGGAAATCAAATGCCCATGCTAACTCCAGTAGTAACAATTATTCAGGAAGAAAAGGTAACTAGATATTCGTATAAGAAATTTATCGATTTAAGTAGTTTTAAGATATTGTAGATAGAATAAAAGTAGTAGTATAAAGTATCATAAATTAGACCTTATATTTGTGCTGAATGTCGGACAAGTCAGCAGTAGCAATATATATTAATATATCGAGACTATTATTTAAAATAGTATTGAGATCTTAATATTGTAGCTAAAAACAAAATGGAGTCATTATTATTTATTATATACATAGAACAGACATAATATTTAGGCTGAAAGATGTGCGTTGAATACCCTATCATCAATATTTCACTAGAAACAAGATGGTATCACTTATATCATATACACAGACAACTTATATTAGAACTGAGCAGTCTTAACAAAAACTGTCAAAGTTTGTATGTTGCAAAATAAATTGTTACAGCTCTCTTCCTATTGACAAGTAAAGTAATGTGCTATTGTCGTCGATTTTTGAACGAATTTGTATAAATTGTAATTAATTGCAAAGCTGTGATTATTCAAAAAGAGTCCAACGAGAGCGAATTTGAAGAAGTTTTTGATAATAATCAATCATACAAGGTCGATTTATTCATTTCGGGATAATAGCAAGTCTACCTAAAGTCAGGAATAGTGATCAAGTGGACAGGCTTTTAAATTGACAACCATGAGCTCTGCTCGTTTAAAGGGTAAATGTTAAACATATAGGCAGCGAGATATATATAGATGTATTCCCTACTATATGTGATTGTAGTTCTAATTGTTTTCCCCTCTAACATTTGTGACAGGTTTCGAGTCGGAGTATCATTATGGCTCAGATTTCGGTGACTCGGATGAGGAGAAGACCGATAATGAAGACGATTTGCTACTTACGCCCAGCGATGATGAGAGCCTAGACGCGGCCAATGAGAGTGAGTCCGAGTTTTCTGTCTGCAGTTTTACACAGAACGGCTTGGGGCGACCGCCGCGTCCGCCCAGCCCGGAGCCAATTTGGCTGCAGGAAGGACGAGAGTATCCGGCCCTCGAATTGCCCGATTCGTCCGAAGATTTATTTATAGACAACGCGCACGTTTTGCGTGCTGTAGGTATTTATGAAGTATTGAGACGCTTTCGTCACTTGGTACGGCTGTCGCCCTTCCGCTTGGAGGACTTTTGTGCCGCACTGGTCTGTGAGGAGCAGAGTGCCCTGCTCACGGATATTCATATAATGCTCCTGAAGGCCATATTGCGCGAGGAGGATGTACAGGGCACTCATTTTGGGCCGCTCGATCAAAAGGACACCGTCAACATAAGTCTCTACCTGATCGATGCCATCACATGGCCAGAAGTGCTGCGCAGCTATGTGGAGAGTGACAGAGAATTCGATCGTAATGTTTACAAAATACTCAGCACTGGCGAATACCCTTACACAGGCGTCGATCATCGCCTGGTTGTGCTGCAATTTCTGGCTGATCAGTTTCTCACTGCCAACTCGGTGCGCGACGTGATGGTGCAGGAGGGTCCCATCCATTATGATGATCATTGTCGTGTCTGTCATCGCCTC